TAAATCAAAGACACAGCATAAAAAGTGTGTGATATGAAATATTCCAATTCATGTTTTATTTATATAGATTTATATTTATGTTTTGGTCATAGCACAATACCGCTTTTATTGTCCATAGAGGGCAAAAATACAAAGAAAAAAATAAGAACTATATGTGTATGTATAGCACTGATGCCACTGAACATGTCGAGTGGTTGAAAGTGAAATAAATATTCAGGAATAATACTTTTACAATTTTTGTAAAATTGTATGTTGCGTTATATAAACTTATTTAGATTGACTGCAGCACATGGGTTTTAATCACCACAGACCGGAGGTCCTTCCAAATGACCGGTATTGATGAGAACACTTTGGCCGGCCAATTCGACCATGCTAGGCCATCTATTTCGAAGATACGTTTCATCGGACTGAACTGTGTATGCCAGCTAGGGCATTTGTAGAATGTATTTCATTGGGGCTTGCGCTTTATTTCTAGGGTCCAGTGATTTATTTTTTCCCATTTCAGTTTCAGCGGGAGCTATTGAACAAACGGGGAAAAAAAATGAGGCTTTGCCACAAACATCAAAAGGCTGACTCGCACGTTGTGGACAGGTGGAAGATGAACTTTCTCATATTTGGGGGTGTAAATCCACAATCATTTCTTGCTGGCGTCATTCAGCAACTTCGTGTGAAAGACGACACCACTGTCTGCCGCCTCTTACTGATGAACCGGCCAGTGGAAATGTCAGGTGATGCATGTTAAACCTCTGGCATTTTAATCGACAATGCTGAAGAGGATCAAGCGGCATCCCGTTTCACCTCTAAAAATGGAGTCGAGAAAAAAAACAAAAAAACTCTTAACTGCTCGTGATTCTCTGAGTGTGGCGCGTGTGGCACGTGGGTTCCCTCCAGGGGTCCTCGATGCGTGCGATGTGGCCAAGCTCCATGTCCTGAAGTGACTTGACGAGAGCTCATCAAGCCACAAAGGACGGAAAGAAACCGAGGAAGCTCAATACAAGCGACTGACGAGACAGCGAGGAGCACCTGTTTCTCCAGAGCACTTGGAAACGGTCCTTTTTGCCTTCGTCACATCTCGGCCGGATTACTGTAACGCACTTTACTTTGGAGTCAGCCAATCCTCCATCAAGCATCTCCAGTTGGTCCACAATACTGCTACTTGCCTCTTGACTGGTACTCGTAAGAGGGCACACATAACTCCTACTCTGGCATCCCTTCACTGGCTACATTTTAGAGTTTTCTGAAGATCCTCTGATTTGTTTTCAAATCTTGAAATGGGCTCATCCCACTTGACTTCTCGGAGGTCCTCCACCCCCGCCCGGTGGCTTAGGTCTGCGGACCGGACCCTATTTGAGGTACCGAGAACTAACCGGAGGCTCAGGAGATGGAGCCTTTTCCGCTGCCGCTCCCTCTCTTTGGAATGACCTCCTGCTGAACCATCTTTAAAATTCATCTTCAAATTCATTTTTATTCTTTCACTTTTTGACTCGGCATGAGACTTGATTTTTAGTTGGACTGTGCCTTCTACTGTCTTTGCTATTCATTATTTTATTGTTGTATGAATTATTTTTGCTCCATATACAGCGGTGGCCATTTTAAAGTGCTCTAAAGTTGAGCCGAGTTGAGGAAAAAAGGGCACAAAACCACAACAATCTAAATCAAAGCCAAATCAGGAGAACACAAGATCATCACAAAAAGACTTGGATTCATCAAAAATATGGCACAACACGTGATCAAAAAGTGGACATCCTTCCAAAATTGAACACGTGATGAGCAAAAAAAGAAAAGACCTGGCCAGGAATGCTGCCAAGAGGCTGATGACGACATTGAAATGCTCTGTTAGAAGCGTCAAAAATCAGCAATGATACTGATGACGTCGTTTTTCTGAAAAATTGTCAGTGCCCCAAATGGGAGCCCACCAAAAGGCATCGATAACATAAGATGCCATATTTGCAAGTGAAATAAGATCATTTTGCTTTGGGATTTAAAAGAAAAGCTGCAATCTTGATGTTCGGCTACTTTGAGCATCTGGGCGACTTCCCAAAAAGTGCATTGCTCTGCTTAACCGCATCGAAGATTTCTTGAGCGATGGCCAGCGCTCAGATTTTAATGTATTTTTTATTCCCTTTGTTAGTTTTAATCAACGGAGCTGGAGTCAAAGCCTGAGCGGCGGTGCGCTGTTGAAATTCAGATCACAGACTTTTGCCCAAAAAGCAGGCCGCTCTCCGGGGAAGGGGAGAGTGAGAGAGATGAGAAAGAGCGGCCCGGGTGGGAGAAAAAGACAGAGGTGAACGGCGAGGCTGTCCTGCAGCATACAGAAAAGGACGAGGTGCAACTGCAACCTTTGACGCAAACGTCCCAAGTTTGCCGTTTCAAACCTGAGCCGGTCCCCAAATTTCACTTTGTTGCCAGATCAGCGCTCTGGAACAAGAGCCAATTTTGATATCCCCAAATACTTTTGGATTTCGGACTCCCTTCCAGGTTGTTGCATGCCTGGCATCGGACGGCAAAAAAAAAAACCAAAAATGACACAAAACAGTGAAGCCGTAAAAGCCGAAGCGCACTATAGCGAGGGTTCGCCGTACAGCGCTGAAGATGATCATTTCCTCGGGAGAACATTCGATGAGGCTGCATCGAAAAATAAGAACAGGAGGCACTCGATGAAAACCGCCAAGCTTGGCACTGTCATGTGAGCTGACCGGTGGGAACATTTCGGATACGCGCACACACACACGCACACACGAGCTCTCCTCCACATGAACATGCTGTCCCCCCCATGCAGTGCCTCCACTTCACTCATCACTATGGCAACCATCTACAGTAGTTCGACATTTTCATATTCCCCCCCACACCCCCTCCAAAAAAAAAAGTTCACAGCAATTTGGTATTCACTCCCCGTTTCTGCCCTTTATGTGTGCATTTTGGTTCTTCTCTGCTGAATGCAGCCAGGCAGGTCGGCCTCGCAAATGAGAATCTGTTCTTCATTGGCATATGTGGAGCCGTCCCTTTTCTTACTTTGGTCCCCTTCACCCCGAGAATAATTCCTGGTGCATGGACGCGGTCCCATAACGCGCCCCTTTCCAACTGTGCATTATTTACCGCGCACGCATCCCGACAATCCATATCCGGGTTCCGTTTGTGAGAAACACATTGAACTCCTGTGATTCCATCTTCGGTGGCACTTGGCCTAAATTTGTACTTATTTGCATTTACGACAGCCAACGTGGCGGTACCGTAAATCCCTCGCCAATTGATGTCGATGTTAAGAACCTGAAACGCTGCTCTTGCGTTTGCTTTTTATACTTGCTCCATTCTATCTGCCTATCCATGGAGCCATCCGGTGACCAGTCACCTCCCAAATTTCACTTTGTTGCCAGATCAGCGCTCTGGAACAAGAGCCAATTTTGATATCCCCAAATACTTTTGGATTTCGGACTCCCTTCCAGGTTGTTGCATGCCTGGCATCGGATGGCAAAAACAAAAATTAAAAACGACACAAAATAGTGAAGCCGTAAAAGTCGAAGCGCACTATAGCGAGGGTTCGCCGTACAGCGCTGAAGATGATCGTTTCCTCGGGAGAACATTCGATGAGGCTGCATCGAAAAATAAGAACAGGAGGCACTCGATGAAAACCGCCAAGCTTGGCACTGTCATGTGAGCTGACCGGTGGGAACATTTCGGATACGCGCACACACACACGCACACACGAGCTCTCCTCCACATGAACATGCTGTCCCCCCCATGCAGTGCCTCCACTTCACTCATCACTATGGCAACCATCTACAGTAGTTCGACATTTTCATATTCCCCCCCACACCCCCTCCAAAAAAAAAAGTTCACAGCAATTTGGTATTCACTCCCCGTTTCTGCCCTTTATGTGTGCATTTTGGTTCTTCTCTGCTGAATGCAGCCAGGCAGGTCGGCGTCGCAAATGAGAATCTGTTCTTCATTGGCATATGTGGAGCCGTCCGTCCCTTTTCTTACTTTGGTCCCCTTCACCCCGAGAATAATTCCTGGTGCATGGACGCGGTCCCATAACGCGTCCCTTTCCAACTGTGCATTATTTACCGCGCACGCATCCCGACAATCCATATCCGGGTTCCGTTTGTGAGAAACACATTGAACTCCTGTGATTCCATCTTCGGTGGCACTTGGCCTAAATTTGTACTTATTTGCATTTACGACAGCCAACGTGGCGGTACCGTAAATCCCTCGCCAATTGATGTCGATGTTAAGAACCTGAAACGCTGCTCTTGCGTTTGCTTTTTATACTTGCTCCATTCTATCTGCCTATCCATGGAGCCATCCGGTGACCAGTCACATGTTGCCGCCTGCAAAAATCAGAAACGTCATCGGTCATCCCTGTCTGTCAGAAGATCCACTCGTTAGGTGACTTTGAGCTAGAAGGTTCTGCGCGGTTTCATCCCACCCTGTCTTGGAATTACCCTCATTAGGATTCAAGGTTAGTAATAATAAAGAGAATGAGAAGTCAGGCTGCTAATGAATGAATGATGAATACAAACCAATATGAAGGACAGGCATTAAAAAAATAAAATAAAATAAAATGTACGGCCGATGTATGTCACCTTCTGTTTGGCTGTTTTGCTTATCGCGAGGAAGATCAGATATGCTTTGCGTGTGCGCGTGTGTGTGTGTGTGTGTGTGTGTATGTGTGCGTGTGTGTGTGTGTGTGAGAGCCTGCCGTCAAATGTGTTGTGGAAATGTGGGCTGGCAGGCAGGACAACAGGCAGATGGCCAAACAACGCAGGCAACTCGAGGTGGGGATTGGATTAACACGACCATCTAATTGCATTTGAGAAGTCGGCAAAAGCACATGAGGAGAAATGACAAGTGGCATGACAACGATGGCTCAATCGGAAACGGCCGCACCGACAACTGACAACATTTGGGAATGTCTGATTGTGGAAACCCAAATTCTTACGAGCTGGCTTGTTGGCATGAAAAGCGCTCACCCCAGCAATGCAACGGCGACAGACGTAGCGTGCGGCATGAGAGACTCATTTATTGACAGTCCAAACAAACTCTTGCATTGCTTGTTTTCAATTTTCAAGTGACTACTTTCAATGCTAAACAGTAAAAAGGCACAGACGGGATGTTTGCCTGCCCCAACATGCAGCCACATTTTTGGGGAACCTGAGTTTTCTTCTACCTGCTGACTGAAAACAGGAAGAGCCCACTTGGATTGGCTTCTGTCATTTTTTTTTCCAGACAATACTTCACATCAGTGAACAGTCTTTCTTTCTTTCTTTTTTTTGTTTTTTTTACTTTACAACATTCTCTAATAATTGCTTTGTTACCTCCTTTTCTATTCCAAGAGAAGAACTTTTACAGGAACTGTAATCTGAGTGTAACGGGACTGGTCCTGCATCGGTCCTGAGTGTTTTTTATTTTTATTTTTTGTATTTGTATGCAAATTACCAGTAGTAATCACAGCAAAGGTTAACATACTGGGAGTTTGTAGCCTTTTCTGCAATGATAAAATAAGATTAAAATGTAATCAAAAAGCCTCAAGTGTGTGTGTATGTATGTGTGTGTGTGGGGGGGGGGGAATCTGTCAATTTTAAATTTAAACAAGATGAAATTGAATGTCAAACAGACATTTAGAGCTTAACCAAGTGCCCCATAATTGTTTTTTTTTCAATGATTACTTTATCGATAACATGCCCCCACCCCAAAAAAAGAATCAGTTTCCAGTTAAAAGAACGCATGACGTAAGTGTCCGTACTCTGACGTCCTGTGACGAGTCGAGTCGAGTCTGTTGCTCTTTGACGCCCTCTGCTGGACAAGAAGAGAACTACGTGCGCTTGGCCGCTACCTGCAGTCGCAGCCTTTCCCGCCTCTTCTTCTCCATTAGTCTGCAACGCAAGTTCGGGGGGCAGAGTTTTGTTTGTGAAGTGTCGGCTCACAAGTTCATGGTTAGGCACTTGAAAAGGAAAAGCGGAGGGAAACTTTGGCAAAGGGGCAGTCGGTCACCTGCGGTTGCGGGCCTCGACCAGCTCGCTCAGTTAGGCACTTGAAAAGGAAAGACGGACGGAAACTTTGGCAAAAGGGGCAGTCTGTCACCTGCGGTTGCGGGCCTCGACCAGCTCGCTCAGCTGATCCTGAGCCACTCGGAGCTCTTCTACACTCTGCTGGTACGTGAAGTCCCTGGAGCCCAAACTCTCCAGCAAGGAAATTTTGTTCGATAGTTCACTGGTTCGATCACGGAGTCGCTGGATGGATGTGTAAAGATTCTCGTTGCCGTCTTCCTGCAGCCATAGAAGTGGAAGAGCGCGGCCGGTTGTACAGGTGTGTTTTGTGTCGAGGCCTGTGCAAAGTACGCCCCCTTGCGGCGAGACATTTATTTGGAAAATAAAGCAGATGAAGTACCTTTGCATTCATGATCTCGATATGAACAAGAAGCGAGGCCAACTCCAGCTCCTCGCTGTAGCCGTTCTTGAGAATGACGCTTCTGTAACCTGCGATGAAAACGGGGACGTCTATGAAGACGACCATCCCACCAAGACAAATGCAAAAGCAGCGTTCGAGGAAAAACGGACATCGATCTGAGCGGGAGACAAAATGGCCGCTCAGGCGAACCCAACCGGACAACGGGGAAGCGTACTCAAGGTTGTGATTCCTCACAGTTGCCATCGGGGACACACCGTAAGAGCACTGGCATGAAAGAAACAATAAAATGCACCGAGATCCAAAATCTGGAAGACCAACTCCGCCAATGGATTCACGAATCCGTTTGCTGAGCCGTTCGACGTTCCGAGAAGGACAATCTGAAGCACGAACCTGTACGTAGCAGACGGACAGGGTACGTTGCCTGAGCCAAGAAGTTGGGGTCGCTGAACATGTCTTCGTCGTAGACGGTGAAGCGCAGAAGCGCGTAGGCCGGGTTGTGGATGTCGAACACAAACGGCTTGGGCGTCCACACGGGATTGAGACCGTTATCGGCTGGAAAACATGGCGGAAGCGGGTCACCGCCGGACCTTTGCTCCTCCCATCGCGTGATCGGCGCACAACAAAAGCGGTCCTCCGACCTACGACGTCGGTCTTAAACTTGCAGCTGTCGTAATCCGCGCCGCAGATCTCCATCTCCACAAAGGGGCAGACGATGCTTCGACCGTTCTTCGGGAGGTGGCGAGCGCCGAGCAACTGATGGCAAAAGAAGAGGGAGGAGCCACGCAGTTCCAATTGAGCAATGAGCGCTCTTGGAGGGAAAAAAAACAAAACCATTTGAGTGCCGGGGTGGCGCTCACCTCCAGCTGGATGGTGATGGGCTCCACCCGCAACGTGTCTTTGTCAAAAGGGTCAAAGGTTTCGTCCCTCATGATGTCCGGTTGGGGAATGAAGCCGCTCCCGCCCCCGAGCGTGAACAACGCCTGGTTCAGTTGCATCGGTTTATCTGCGGGAAGGTGGATTTTTATCCGTCCCGTAGAAATGTAGGAGAGTTGGTGCACGGGTTGCTCAGGTTACTGACCTGGAGTCTGGAAATTGAGCGCAACCAGCTGGGAGCCACACAGCCATATCGGGAGGGGGTCGTAGTTGGACGAGTCCAGCCTCTGGCCGCGGGGATAAACTCTGGAAAGCTGACGCCGGTTGTACTGGAGGAAGCGCTTCCCTCGGCCCCGCGTGGCCAACTTCTCCGCCTTCGTCTCCGGGAAGGACGACATGTCCCGGTGGCAGGCTCGCTCTGTCCCGATCTCTGACGGCGGCAAAACAAAAGTCGCGTGTGGCCAAAGAGCAGAGGAGATGGGGGGGGATCCCTTACTGTCCTCGTCGAAGGGAACGGGGCGGCAGTAAACGACCAGGTCTGACAGCTCCACCGCAATCTTCTTCCTTCTCTCCATCTGCTTCTCCTCCTGCATCTGAAGAGCCTCGTCTTACTTTCGTCGCGGTGACACTTCGGAGATCGGCTTTCAATTTCCATCGCCAAACAACACGAGTTGGGAATTCGCCTTTCAACGTCCCGATTTCGCCTCGTTCATTCTCCTGAGCTGAGAAAAGTATTTTCACTGACCCGCGCGTCTGCGTTGTGCGTCGCCTCCCGGATCTTGCTGACCCAGCTGCTCAGCTCCTCCGGGCCGTCGGAGGCCACGTCCAGCATCTGGAGCGGCCGAGAGGCCAAGTGGCGGGAATGGATGGTGAAGACGAAAGGCCGCGAATGTTTGCCATCTTTGTGCACCACTGAGGCAAGAAAAGGCACCGTTCAAGGAAAACGGTGGCAGGACGTTGTGACGAGGAATTCGTGGATGAAGAGCGAAGATGGGAGGGATTTCCCTGCTCTTCCCATGTCTTGTCATTTGGATTTTCAATTTCAGGAATGAAATCTTATTGGGACTCACCAACATTACACGTCTGGACATCAATGAAGCCCTTCAGAAATGCACCCAGGGGACTGTTCTCTGCTGACTGCAAAAAAAAAAGAAAAAAAAAAGTGAATGTGGGGAGAAGCAAGATGAGCCGTACTTTTCCGGATGATACTGTATTAGGCACTCACTGCTTCGACCATCTCTCTCGTCGGAGAGCTGGGTACTTCCTCCACATAGTTTGCGGGGAACCACAGCTGCTTCTTCCCTCCATAGTCACCTCGCCACCTAAAAAAAAAACACGACTATTCAATCCAATTTATAGGCGAGAGAGAGAGAGAGAGAGAGAGAGAGAGAGAGAGTCATAGATTTTGTTCCGAGAGAGATTGTGAGGGCTATTGTTTTGCAAGTAATTAAAACTTATTGTGTCCACAGTTGGAGGGGCCATTTTGTATTTTCTTTCAACACGACTTGACATTGACGCTTTCCGTCATGATCAGGCACCAGCTAAAATGTCCCTTTAATCAGGAATAATCTGAAGCCTATGGCGGATAATTTGGGACGAAACTGATTGCAAGTCAGTTGCATGCATGCGTCATCAATTTCTTGAACGTGGGAAGAAGCTCGGTTCCTGGTGGGGGTGGGGGTG